CACTGCAAGCCATAAATAGCAAAAAACCGGCACATACACGACCACAACGATACAACAAAATTGAGTAGGGTTAATTATGCGGCAAATCTAACCTATTATACATTATCGGTTATATGGGCGCAGTCAATTAAAAAACATGGTTTTTTGATCTATTATTAGTATAACATGAATTAGCCAATCATGCAAGCTCTTTTCTCATACGGCATTTAGAAAAATAGGCATCGACAAAAATTTTATTATGTAAATTGATGCTTTAAATGCTAAATTTATATAGTTGAATGCATGCTTTATTTGATAGTATTGTTACCTCATTTTTGCAAAAATGCCATAAGCCTTGTTTTAATTGACTGCTCCCCATATTATGCGGTTTATGCGGTTTTATGCAAAACTGATTCAGACATACGTATACGTACGTACGTACGTACGTACGTATCCGTTATTGAGATTTTTTTAAAAAAAAATGATCATCTGATTACACTAATGCGTAACTTTTTTCACCGAACAAAAATGAATATTTAAACATTTATTTACAAAAGAAATAGATGAATTAACATTTGACCAACCCAAGTATGTATAACAATTACTATCTAATTAAATGAAAATGGAACATGTCTAAGTGTCTAAGAACAACAATAATACGTATTATGGTGAATCGTCTGATTGGATATTATAATGAGGTGGGAATTCTCTCTTGTAATAGTAATAAGGTGAGGTTGCTTCCTTCTTGTAATAAAGATAATAATATCCTGGAGATGAATAATAATAAGGTATATCCTTCGCATTACGTTTTTGATTATTAGATTCACTTTCATCATTTTCTCTATTATGTTCGTTATCTTCTTCATCTTGTTGATTAGACTCATTACTACTCTTTTGAAGTTTATAGTAGTGGAAATTTGCCTTTGGAGAAGCGTCACGTTTATAATAAAAGATCGGAAAGTCACGTCTAAGATTCCTACCTTCACTTTTTCGATGAAAATTGTAAGGGTATAGAGCGCGTTCATCTAAAAGAATAAATGAAAGTGATGAAAATGATGAAAGTGATGAAAGTGATGAAAGTGCGTGAACATATAATACATATATAATTAATACATATGTATAATACTTTTCATTTTGCACTTACAGTTATTGTACCAATCATCTCTCTCCCAATCATCTCTCTCGTCTATATCATTACGGTCGTTAATATCAGCAAAGATGGTTGTAATAAATAATAATAAACTTATCAATGTTATGAAAAAATTATTGAATTTCATTTTTTCTCTTGGTTCTTTTTTTTTTTGGAGGGTTTATGAGTAATGAATAATAAGAACTTGAAGATAATTATTTTTCTATTTAGTCACAATGAATGTTAAAGAATGTTAAAAATGAGAAATTTTTGAAGTGTTTATATAACTTTTTGGAAAGCGTTGACACGCAAGTTTAATCATTATCATCAATTATAAAAATTAAATCTTTTTTTCGTCTTTTTTTACACGTCAAAGGTATAGATGCTGGTGAAAATAAATAATACTGGTGAAACTGGTGACTATATAATATCTGATTGGTTGTTATATTAAATTTCACCAGTTCATCTTCATTCACCAAGAGTTTCACCAGCATCTATAGTCAAAGGCTAATTCAAAAAATGTGAACATCCAAATAATAAAAGTGAATTAATAATTTGACAAGTTATTAGATCATTTTGTTGTGTTAGGCGAAGCCTTCGTATTTTGTTGATTAAATTAGACGTAACGCTTAATTAGTGGTGAATTATTATTATGCATAACTTTGTTTTAAAAAGCCTTACAAATTTTTGATTCAAAAATTTCATAACACGTTTCACAATTGATCTCATTATAACACGTATGAAGCTTAGCATTAGTAAAAAATGTAGGTCCCGTGATCTTCAAGGGCTTATCATTTAACCTTATCAGTTATGTGGGGTCTTTACCTTGAAAATCAAATATATGACAAATGATTTACTATGTCCCATAACTTGATTTTCAAGGCAAAGACCCCATGTACGTAGTAGGTATTTAGTAAAGTAGTACAGTACGTTTGTACAAATGTATACGAACGTACCAAAATTTTGGTAGTACGTACGTACGTACGTACGTTAAAGCAAAATAAAATTTTTCGTATTAGTACAAACGAATATTTTAGTAAATGCGAAGCTTCTTCTTTAATATATGAGTGACATCAAGAAAAAACCAAACTTTGTTCTTAAACACCGGATTCAACTTGAATAACATGTATAATTAAGACGTTAATTGGTGTCACTCACATATTAATATTCGGTTTTTTTTATGCATATATTCGTCACAACAATGATTGGTCACACCCTCAAATATTCAAGTCAAATATCTGAATTGAAATATTGATCATGCATTAAATATGTAATACGTTTAAGTAATAACCGTACGTACTAACTTATACTACCGTACTGTACCAATGTAGTTGTATTTAATATACCAGCGTCTATCAGCTATCGTTACGTAAGTACGTACGTATTAAAATATCAGGTATACATATTTGATGTATTAATGTTAATCTGTATATCAATATCGATATCGATATCGTCTCAATTTAAGTCGGAGATCACGGGGCTGAAACGCAACATGATTAAGTTTCATATCTGATATATACACGCAACACACGTACGACGTATTGCTTTGTTTCTGTAAGATCGATACCATATTTATCGTTATCATGAAGTCTCGAATACGTACGTACGTACGTACATACAATTGTAGAATATGATATATAGTTTGGTTTGGCTGATATGCTTTTATATTTATAAAATTCTTAATTTAAATTTCATAGAAATTCAAATCGTATCTATCTACATACATTATACATTGTAAAATATCTATTACTATTACTATTTATAGTTATCTATCAATTATTATATCTAAAATTTACTTGTGAATCTCTATTTAAAATTTCTGATTAACTTAATGCTATTAGATATTTTTTTTAAGGGTAGGGTGAACGTAGATCATTTCTCATATAGGTAGATCGTCTAAAAAAATTTTACACAAAAATTAACCATTCGCTACATATAAAAGTCTTTGAAAATATAATCAATTTTCGTGAAAATTTTAGGGTATATACATTAAACCCTTCTAAATATAATAACACAGTTTTGAATCTCTACTTTATTTAAAAAAAATATACTTACATATATCGTCAATTCTTCCTAGGATAACCGAAATTTGCCTAGGTTACACAATATAAATAACATATGATCATCACCTGATTTCAATTGATTGTTATTGTAAAAAAATTAGCAACGTGATCACTATTAAAAATGATCTACGTTCACCCTACCCTTAAAGAATACATCTTTTAACCTCTTTTTAGTAAATTGAATAGGGTAAGCAGGGGGTTAAAATATAACAAAGGTAAATATAAAATATGACAAAGGTAAATATTGTGTATCTAATTTATTGTGATCTACATGTACAACGAATTTAAAAGTTCTTTGTTCATTTTGCAATTGATACCTAAATTTAAAACTTAAGTAAGGACTGTAATAAAGCCAACTGTCTTTATGACTAACCGGCGTTATAGTAAAATTTTTTATAATTATATTATACGAACTCTAATAAATCACGTGATTTTGAATTGATAAATTACATATACGTATAGACATCTGATCTGATTGTAGATCAATTGACCGAGTAACTTATTTATGTGTATATTTTGAGAATATAATTTTACTAATAAAGGACAATAAAAGTCACTACACGTTAAGTTTAATTTCGAATCTTGCAAATATTTTATTACTTATTATACTTATGGATGGGCCGCTGCGCCAGTACCCTAGCCATCCAGAAAAAAAAGTGGCAGACACGTGATTTCGGCCAATCAGCAAAAAATCAAAACAATCGTATAAGTATATAATTCGAAGTAATAAACCTTATTGTTAGGGTTAGAATTTGGGTTTGTATATAGCATTATATATACCAAAATTTAGCGAGGAATTTTTTTTGTTAGTACGCAGAAGGTAGTTTCATAAGAGAAATTTCGAGTTATTGACGATTTTTCAAAAAAAAACAAAAAAAGCGTGATTTTGACGTTACACCTGATCTTTCTATCTAATTGGCCAGATTTCGAAAAATCACGTGTCTGCCACTTTTTTTCTGGATGGCTAGGGTACTTCCGCTGCGCAGACGGAATATTTCGGAAGGTCGGAATATGCCGGAAACCATCGAAATTTAGCATTTGTGGCCCGCATTAGCCATAATGCAGGCTGCGCAGCTTGCGCAGTATTTTCAAAACATCTTCGATTTGCCCAACTCTAATTATACTAACGTACTAGCTATATGTAAATACCTGAAAACAACTATCTAAAAAAAAGATGATTGAAGCTAGTGCTCGAAACCTCGTTATGATAAATATGTTAAGCGTGTAAGCCATGAATATATATAGTAAATTTATAACGGGTCAGTTTCGATCATTTGGGTCAACACGTTCGGTGCATTAATTGAGCATTACATATGAGTTTTAACTTTGGGAATTTTATGTATACTGTTAACATGTTATGTTAATAATAAAATCTATACTACTTTGAACTTTGATTTACAATCGTTTACAAAAAGTTGTGGAAAGATGCAAATTGCCATACTATTGGAATTCCAGGTTTCTAGAGTTTCGAGACCTGTCTAATCGGATACATCTTTATGTAATTGTAATTATTTCTACTGTCACGCTTTTCTTCGAATAATCGTGACTTGTAGTAACGAGAACGTGTATACTGTAAGGATGGGATGTGGCGAAGGCTTGGAAGTTTAGATTTATACAAATATTTATTTTATTCGTCATCTTTGTTTATTTTTATATC